TCACGTTTTTATTTTAATTTAGGTTTTTAATTAGTTATGAAAACAAATAAATATGATTTGGTGTATATTAAATGAACATCTTACAACTGAAATATTTTAGAAAATAGTTTTGTCAATTTCTAATTATATAATAGATATATTCACTTTAAACAGTGTCAATATCAATCAAAATATGTCAATTTCTTAATTGACTAGTGAATTAAACACCTTTGTATTTCATACATCTTAATCTAGTAGTTTCTAAAAAAAATGAATATATGAAAGGAAAAGTTTCAAAAACAGTTCTTTAGTACTTGTGAACTACTATTAATTACTTTTAGTTTAAAACGAAAATACTACTACTTCAAAAATTCAGAATACAATTTAGAGAGAAAAGATGTGTTTGGAAAAGGGTAAGAAAGTAAATTCGGGTGGGTTGTTGGGTTAGAAGGAAGGAAACATCTTCTAGTTAGTTACCCACAACAACGAAAGATTTTGATTGAAGTATATACACATAGACAGAGGAATGAGAGGGACCATAGTTAGTTAAAGCTGTCCTCTTGAAGCAAAGTCACTCTACTAATATTCATCATCTTACGGTCGTTTGCAACATGAAAACTAAACAAAAGACATCTAATTTTCATTATTTATTTCATCATCAGTTAATTAGATAGATGTTCATGATTGGGCCAACCAAACTTTAAAAATCAATTTCCGATTATTAATCCTTTTTATTTGTTTTTCTACAAACACAAAAACACATAAGTATTTCTTTATTCTTCAAATTACAAATCCTTTAGTGACAAGCAAAACTTCCCCCTTAACAAACTTTTTTGTTTCCATCTTGATTTTCAAAATTAAAGTTTAATTAAGTTTTTGTTTGACGTTGATATTGCTTATAGCTATCAAGGGGACTAACATTTTATGGTGAATATTGTTACAATATTACGTTTAGTGAACATTTTAATCATTTTTATACTCTCTGTGTATGCAAATAACACTAATTTTGTTGTTGAAGCTATCTTTAAAATAATAATAATATTCGGTTAGACATCTCTAACGGTTTCTGAAGTTGGCGGGAAAGCGAAGTAGGTAGACTACTATTCCTGTGCTTTACTTAACCCATGGGGAAGCGATTTGCTAACCAATTAAATACATCCGCTTTTGAAGCAGATCCTCAGATCTTCTCATTGTACGGTCTCGATTGAGTAGTGCAATAAGCTTCTCGTGGTCTCTCCCGCATGTGATCTTTAACTCTTCTTCTTCCTCACCTCTCTTTGTTCTGGGTGTATATATACACATTTACAGAGCATTGTTCATCTTTTATTTCACCGCTCTTTCTCTTTGCCTCTCAAAAGCCCAGCGATATTCTGGTACTCTCTCTCTCTCTCTAGGTTTTGCTTCTTCTGTTTTGTTGTGTACTTTTCTTGTCTTCTCCGATCAATCCAGAGCTTGATTACAGTTGAAACATACGAGATTTCACCGATACAATCCAGCTTTTAGTTTCGTACTTTGGTATTCTTTGAAGATTTCGTAGATCTATTGGATTCAAACGCGAATTTTCCTCTTAATTCGAGTTTCCGACGGTTTAATTTCATCGTTCCTCTAGTTTGATCGGAAAATTGCTTCGGTGTTTCTCTTTTTGATGTGGATTTCTGATACAATCTTCTTCAGGAAGCTTTTACGAGATTGAGAATGGCGGAGAAAGTCGCGTCCACTGTAACGGATCTAGCATGTGTGACGGCTCTAAACTCGCCGCCGCCTCCGTTATCACCACAATCCGAAAAAAGCAACAGCAACAAACATCAGGAAGATTTCGCCGCAAGCTTCGCGTCGCTTTACAATTCGATCTTCTCGCCGGAATCTCAGTTTCCAAGCTCGTTA